TGTCTTTCCCACCACCTGGATCTCTGTTCCTCTGTGCATCATTCTCTAGTTGTTGTCTGTTCTTGTTGGTTCTCAGTCCACACAACTTCCTTTAGGATGTATTTCATAGCAGGGCTGGCTTTGGCAAAATCCCTTAGTTTCTGTTTATCCTGGGATGTTTTGACTACACCATTGTATTTGATTGACAGCTTTGCTGGGTAGAGGATTCTTGGGTGGCAGTTTTGTTCTTTCTGAGTTTTATATATGTCTTCCCGTTGCCTTCCTACCTTCATGGTTTCTGTTGAGATATCCAAACTTCATCTGATTTGCTTGCCTTTGTATGTTACACTTCTTTTTTCCCTAGCTGCTTTCAGGATCCTGTCCTTACCTTTGATTTTGGAGAGCTTGTTTATTATATGTCTTGGTGATTGTCTTTTATGGTCTATCTTTCCTGGGGTTTGAGGAGCTTCTTGAATGCTTATCTTTTCACTTTTCAGGATATTAGGAGATTTTTCTTCCAGAAGCTCTTCAACTATCTCCTCTGTGGACTTGTGTAATTCTTCCTATTCCAGAATGCCAGTAATTGTTAAGTTATTCCTCTTCATGTTGTCCAACATGAATCTTAAGCCTTCTTCAGATTTTTTTTATCCTTTTTTATGTTTGCTCTTCTATCTTAGTAGTGTTGAGAGAGTTATCTTCTAGCTCACTAGTTATGGCTTCTATCTCTTCAATTCTACACCTTTGCCCTTTCAGTGTATTGTCTATTTCTGCTATTCTGTTATTAATCATCTGGACCTCTTTCTGTAGGTTTTGAATTATTTCCAATGCTGTATCTATCTTATTTGATTGTTCCTGTAGCACTTTCCTGGCTTCTTCCTTATTTTTCTCAACTCCATTGTATAATGTTTTGATACATTTTATAATCATTTTTCTGAATTTCTTCTCAGGCATTTCCAAAGCCTGCCCATCTTCCAGTATGGAGTGTAGGTCTCCTTCCAGCTCATTTGACTTAGTCACTTTATCTCATTTCTGGACATGTGCAGATATGGTCATCTGCTTCTGTTTGGGGGCATATTAAGGAATATTCTGTGGCCTTAATACTTAGATGGGTATGTATTTTTGTATTTTTTTATGCTTTCTGATTGCCTCTAAGTAGATGTGATCAGGAAATGGGCTTTTCTTTTCACTTTTCTTCTTGAGAAATTTCAAGACACTACTCTTTGTCATTTTGATGTAACTTAGGATTTAATTTTCAGCCTATTTCCTTTTCAGTCTGCTTGTCCCACTCCATAATCCCCATTCAGGACTTTTTTCTAGTTATAAACAGTTCAGGGCCAGCTCTGGCCATTTGGTTTTAAGTGGAAACTGTCTCTTTAAATTTTGAGGAGATCTGTGCACATTCATAGTAGAACCTCTGAGGGTGGGGCTGGGGTGTTCACTCATTCAGGCACCCTTATAGTCACCAGAATGGAGGTGCACAGATAGCAAGGGACCAATGAACAGATAACAACAACAAAAAGAGTGTCCACACCTTTATCTCTGCAGTTCTGTCACTCATCTGTGGCTGCTCTGATCCTTCCCCTGCTTGGTCTCACCCAAGATAGTGGCTCTGAAATCAACTGAGTGTCTTTAATTATAAAGCAATGGATTTCTTGCTTCTGCTACAAATTCCTCTAGCTGTAAGCCCTTCAACCTTCTAAATATTCCTTTATATGTGGTTCAGAGTTCTGGCACCATCCCCTGAGCCTGCTTGGTCTGGTATTCTGTGTTGTTGCTGATGGAGCTCCTCACTGCACTTCTACCTGAGCCGCCATCTTGTTTGTTCTGTTGTAAATACATTTTTAAACAACATAAAATATGACTGTTCACATGGACCTCACAAGATGGAATACACAGAAATAGAATGGACTTCATGTGTGGAAAGAGATGGCAGAAGAGCTCCATATCATCAGCTAAAACAATGCCAAGTGTAAACTGTGGAACAGACCATAAGCTGCTCACATGAAAGTTCAGAATGAAACCAAAGAAAATTAAAACAAGTCCCTCTCTCCTTTTTTCTAATCTGTGTTTGTATGGAATCTTTATTGAAATCTGTCCACCATGGATGATCCTGCTGGTATTCAAAATACTGGTGGTATAGCTGTATTTTTAGTAAGATAAACTGACAGATGAGTGGTGGATCCTTCCATAATAAAATCATGTCTTGAATAAAGATCATGCACTAAACCACTGGGGTCCTTTCCCTGGCTTTTCTGAATCAGAAAGGTTTTAGTCTATAGATAAAGGTCAAAAGGAAGAAAAAGTCTCACTGGCAAATAACTTCCATGCTTATTAGTCAACTAATAAAGTATCAAAGAATAATGATCTGCAAGGAAACAGGCCCAGAGGAGTAAAAATTATAAACCTTGGTAACTTCTTAGTACCAAGATATTTGCAACATGCTGCACAGTAACTCATACTACAGTTGTGTGGTAATGTATGGCATGCATCTGCCCACACAAAACTCTGGAACTCAAACGAAATTCATTTTCAGGCCAGCAACTGGGACATAAGGGACATTTAAATTATATTACCAGTTGCCCTCAAGTAAACACTGACTCATGGTGACCGTTAAGATTTTCAGTGACTGAGTTTTCATAAGTAGTTTGCCAGGCCTGTCTTCCAAAACTCCTCTGGGTGAACTGAAACCTCAAAGCTTTGGTTAGCAGTCAAGCATGTTCACCGTGCCACCCAGGGACTAAAATCCTTACCCTTCTAAAAATTCAGCATAACACTGTATTCCCACAGAAGGCCTCTTATTAGGACTTTAGTCAACTGCATCTTATGCTATAAAGATGTCACTTCACTTAGATGAAACTTTTGTAAATTATAAAAAATTGCCACCACACATTACTGTTATTACACAGTGCACGAACCCAGGGCTCTCATCATCCTGAAATTGTCCAGATTTAGTTCAAGGTACTTGTGTGGGACAGATATCATACAGTAGAAAAGCAAATTTTTAGCCATGTTGCTGCTGTTGTTGTTGTTGTTAAGTGCCACCAAATTAGTTCTGACTCAGAGACACTGTATAAGGTTTTTGAGGTGGATTTGAACTCCCAACCTTGTGGTTAGCAGTCCAGTGCTAATCCTACTACACCACCATATACCGTGATCAATAAAGAGGTATGTGATAGGTAATTTGCCATGAAAACATCTGATTTTTTATGTATAAATAATTATGCATAAATTACTTCCTTTGAAAAACAAATTAGAACATATTCATAGGTAGCAATTACATATACTTTGGAATAGAAAACCTGGGGGCCAGTCAGGAAACAATGTATTACCCCTAACTTTGAACATTTCTATCTAAGGGTCAGAGAAAAAGAGGAAGTCTCCCAATGAGATGGATTGGCCAAGTGGCAGCATCGATGGACTCAAGCATTGCAATAGTAGTGAGTTTGGCCCAGGATCAGGCAATGTTTCGTTCTGCTGTGCATAAGGTGGCTATGTGTCGATACTGACTTGATGGTACCTAACAACAACAACAACAACATCTAACGGGGCCCTACATATGAACTTTGCTTGTCAAGTAGCTCACAAAAGTTGAAATTACTTCATTAGAATGTTTCGGGCATTGTTAAATGTTTATACTGACCATCAGAAATAATAATAAAAAAAAAACACCTCAAAACAATACTGAAAATACATGGTCCTGTAATTAAGCAATAGGATTGGGAATTCGACTCACCCACATCCAACAACCGGATGGAGAGTTTGCAAATATATTTGGTTTCTTAAGTGAAGTGGTTCTTTCTCCCTCTTTTTTGATCGCTGGGTTAAGTTTCAGGACTTATATTTTTTTATGCTGCTTTCAATCAAGTGTTAGATGAGGTAACTCATGTTTAAAATGTTGGGAGTTCAGTGTTGTTAGTACTTAAGTAGATTTTTACCTAGGGCGACTCCGTGTGTGTTGAGTAGAACTACTCAGTAGGGTTTTCAAGGCTGTGACCTTTCCAAAGCAGATCATCAGTCCTGTTGCCCAAGGCACCCCTCAGTGGATTTGAACCATCAACATTTCAGTTACTAGTCAAGCACTTAACTATTTGTGCCACCCAGGATGGGTTTGAACCACCGTACTTAAGTTGGTTTTGTTCAAATCAACCTTGTGATCCAGTGATTATTCTACAGTGCTAACTCAGGTTGGGATGCAGTAAATCAGGAGTTGGCAAACTACAACTCCCGGTCCATATCTGACCTGCTGCCATATTTGTACAACCTGTGAGCTAAGAATTGTTTTTATCTTGTTGTTGTTGTTGTTATTAAGTGTCAATGAGTCGGTTCTGACTCATAGATACCCTGTATAGGGTTTCTGAGGAGCAGCTGGTGAGTTTGAACCACTGAACTTATGGTTCAAACCAGCCTTATGGTTGAGTGCTTATCCTACAGTGACAGAGGAGAACAATATTGTGTGCTATATGAAAATTATACAACATTCAAATTTCACTGGAACACAGTCATGCTCATTCACTTAAACACTGTCTATGGCTGCTTTTGTGCTTCAGTAGCAGAGTGGAGAGTTGATACATTGAATGTAAAACTGACAAAATCTAAAGTAGTTACCTTCTAGCTTTTTATAGGAAAAAAAGAAAAGGGGATCCCTGCTTTAAATATTGTACTGAAAGAGGAAGTCAATATGCTGACCCTCAGCCCTAGACTTCTACCAAGTGACTGGAGAGTGGGAGGTGAGAGGGTAGAGATGGCTATTAACCCCTGTCCTTCACCCCACAATAGCTCTTGGCTCCTCATTCCCAATGGTATATTATGGGGAAACACTTTCAAAACTATAAAAGTGCTATGGAAATGTATTATTTATCTTCATTAGTCTTTTTTCCATGAGTCCAAATGAACCCACTACAAAATGAGCAGTAATTGCAAAAGAACTCTTATAAAAGTCACTATAAAACAATAAAACTAAAAGCACATTGTATCTTTACTGCAGCGTTCTCTTAAGAGTTGAGTGCTCAGGACTTCATTACCTCAGATGGTCTGAGTGTATGTGGCTGATGTAAATTAGGTCAGCTTGGCATAGCCTCTCCAGCCAGTCAGAGGGAGGCTCGTGGAGCAGCCACCATCCTCTGGCAAAAGCAGGACCAGTTAACCAAGGGTCAAACACCATCTTCTTGTCTCCCAGTTTGAGATCCATGCAGGCATGAGTGAGGTATGTTACCTGTTGGAAGAGTGTGAGATTCATAATATAGAATTAGTACTAGCAGGCAGTAATGAACTGGTAACAATGAAGAATCTCATTGGAGAACTTTGCTCCTAAGCATGGGCAAGCTAAAGTACTGGAATGGAAGTCAACATGAGATTTACATATTGCACAACAATAACAAATAAAGAAACAAATACACAAACGGCCTACTTGCCATGGAGTCAATGCCAACTTATTGTGACCCTTTGTGTGTCAGAGTAGAACTGTACTCAGTTTTCAATGTCTGTGATCTCTCAGAAGTAACTCACCAGACCTCTCTTTCAAGGTACCTCTGGATGGACTTGAACCTCCACCCTTTCTGTTAGCAGCTGAGCACATTAACTGTTTGCACGACCCAAGGACTCCTTAGGCATCAAACCAATTGATTTATCCAATTTTACTCTCCACCATCGGCTTATCCAGCAGCGTGCTGGCTCTGTATGAAAAACACTACACTGGGAACCACCAGGTCAGTGGTTTAATCCCATCAGCCACTTCACAGGGAAAAGATAAGGCTTTCTGCTTCCGCAAAGATGTATAGCCTCGGAAACCTTACACAGGTCAGCTAAGAGTCAGAACCGACTCCATGACACTTAATAGCGACAGCCTATCAGTTTGTTGTACTGTGATGGCTTGCATCTTGTGATACTGGAAACTATGCTACCGGTAGTTCAAATACCAGCAGGGTTCCCTATGGACAGGTTTCAACAGAGCTTCCACACTAAGATAGACTAGGAAGAAAGTTAAGTGGATCTGCTTCTAAAAATCAGCCAGTGAAGGTTGTGCGGATCACTACAGAATATTGTACAGCATAGGACCTGAAGGTGAGCCCCTTAGGTTGGAAAACACTCAAAATATCAATTGGCCACAACAGTGGTCTAAGTATATCAGTGATCATAAAGATGACAATATTTCATTCTGTCCTATGTGGGTAGGTGTCACCATGAATCATAGTGGACTCACTGGCCACTTACTAGCATTACTATGTTTAAGTTAGCTCCTATACACGCATTTATAATCTGCACTGCAGAATATTTTATGACCAGCCCTTTCATATCACAGTTTACCAGGAAAGCCAGTAGAAATGCTATGGCAGGCACTTGGGGATTTAAATGCCAAAGTGTCTGTGAATGACAACATGAATGAATAACTCCCTGTGAGTTTGGGTAGCTTGGCTCAAACAGAGTGGATTGACAATTGGCTAAACAGGTTTGGGAGAATTTCTCTTCCAAATTACCTACTAATTAACCCCTTGAGGATGTCGGTCCTCTGAGAATGACTGCAAATAATGTCTTAGAGACAGGAACAAGCAGGGGGTTTCCTCACTCCCTACCCATGACCTGGCATACACACAGGGAAAAAGAGATGCCATCTAGAAGCAGAGATGAGGTAACAGAAACTCTAGTGTGGAGAGTCATAATAGCAGGTGTGGAGAGGTCAAATAATCGAATTTTTTTTTTTTTTTATGGAGTCCTGGTGAGGCATTGCAGGATAACGCACTGGACTGCAAGGTCAGTTTAAACCGCAAGGTAGGTGGTTCAAACTCACCAACTGCTCCTCGGAAACCCTTTACAGGGTTGCTATGATTCAGAGGTGACTTGACAGCACTTAACAACACAACAACAACAAAATTCTGGATATAGGAGTTCCTGTGTGGTGCTAATGATTACATGCTCAGTGATTAGCCAGAAGTTTGGTAGTTTAAACCCACCTAGAGGCACCTGAAAGAAACACCTGGCAATCTGCTTCCAAAAGGTCACAGCCTTGAAAACCCTACTGAGCATCAATACCACTCTGAAACACATGAAATCCCGTGAGTCAGAACTGGCTCTGCAGCAACTGATTTGTTTATTATTGTTTGTTTTTCTGATTCTGGATATATTCTGATTAGTTTCCTCAAAAAAAACATGGTTGCTGTTTTCATAAGCTTCCCAAATAGCCGGAAAAATTAAGTTTGGGTTGTTTACTAATCCCAAACAACCAAAGTCTTTCTGGTGTAGGGAATTTTCTGCTGAAGCCAGAAGGATGCACAAGGTGGTAGGTGAAAGTTCAAGGTCAATCTGGCTTCAAGGGTAATTTCTGAACTTCCTTCACTAGTTTTACATAACTTGACTTTTGGAGCTTCCTCTAAAGTTTCTTTATAACTATATTTCCTTACAATTCTAAGTTTTGGAAGTCCCTAAAAGAAACTTGCTCAAGAGAATGATTTATTATATGACCTTACTAATTAGCCACCTGTAATATACCCACTGACCCTAAGTTGATTCCAACTCAAAGCAACCCTATTAGACAGAGTAGAACTGTCCTATATGGGTTCTGAAAGTAAATCTTTACAGAGCAGACAGTCTCCTCTTTCTCCCGTGGATTGGCTGGTGGGTGTGAACTGCCAACCTTTAGGTTAGCAGTCCAATGCTAAACCCACTATTCCACCAGGGCTCCTTCATAGTTAACATAGGGTGCAAATAAATCTTCACTATAATAAATTGCATCTTGGTTTTATTTTTATTTTTAAGAATATTACAATTTTAATGTTTCTTTACCTGCACTTCTCCAAAAGCCAAATCTTCAGTAGTTCTGGGATCTGAATCCCAAGGGTTAGGAGGATTCAGTTCTAGTAATACAAGTCCATTGTTTTCATCCATTTCAACAACTAGAATCAAAAGGGAATAGATTTGAACTGAAATCTATGTGAACTGACATCTATACAAATAACACTTTAGAAGCATCATTAAAATAGAAATACATTGTCCAGGTACACAAGAATGCCAAAATCAAAGGAAAATCAAAGCAAAAGTAATACTTACTTGGGTCAAGCAATATCTGTTGGGATGAAAGTATAAGACCAACACCAATTCATTTCTTCATTCAAATTACGCTAGAGAACTCATGAGACCCTGCCACATCAGGGACATAGACACACACAACAACTCATTACAATTAAGTGAATGCTACAGAGATGGGTTCAGGGTGACTAAGGATACATCATCAAGAGGGATCATTTGCCTGAAGAGCATATCGTATTTGGTGAGGAAGAGTGCCATGGAGGGCATGGGAGACCCTTTGTGAGAAGGATTAGCACAATATCCACAGCAATGTACTTGATTATGCTGGCAATTGTGAGAATGAATCAGGACTGGGCACCATTTTGTTCTGTTGGATACTTGGTCATCATGATTCAGACTCAACACGACAGCAGCTAGCAACATCATGAGGATGTGGAGGAATGAACACTTGGTTCATTTCTAAGAGTCAAAGCTGATTTCAAATAGGATGCAATCCTTGAACTAGACTTGAGAAATGAAATATTTGGAGGCAGACAAAAGAAATATGACTTGTAAGGTGGAAGGAACAGCAAAGGTGTATAGGCATGGGAGAGCTTTGTATGCAAAAAAGTGACTAGCAATTGTGACTGAGGAAATTGGTGTTTGAGTCAGACAAGAGACACAAGTGGCCAGAAGAACTCACAAATTACCCAAAGTGCCACGCTAAAGAATTTGGGTTTTATCTTATGGTTATGAGGGGACACTGAAGAATTCTAAGTGACAGACACCGGTAGCCTAAATAAATTCCACTCTATTGTCCTCCCTTCCTATTAGCATCTTAATTTTACTAGGAGTGGTGATATGCCTATCTAAAGGCTCCCTTAGATTAGTGGCCATAAACCTAGCACTTACATATAGTACATACAGCTCTGGGCAATGAGGTGTGAGCAGATTCTTATTTACCAGACTTCTAGGAAAACTGTTATTTTCCTGAAAAAGAGGGTTGATTCAAAGGACCTTTTGGCTTGCCTCACTCTTGTTTGGAACTTGATTGTCTAGCAGAAGGAGCAGGAACCATCTTGAAACCCTGAGGAAAATAGCCACATACTAAGGATGATAGAGCTCTGGTAGCATAGTGGATTATGAGCTGAGCTGCTAACTGCCAGATCAACAGTTCAAATCTACGAGCCACTCCATGAAAGAAAGATGAGGCTTTCTGCACCCGTAAAGATTCAGCCTTGGAAACCCTATATAGGGTCTCTGTGAGTCAGAACTGACTCCATAGCAGGTAACCACCACCACCACAAGGATGATAGAACAGGAAGACAGAAGGAACCTGACTGCAATAAACACAGATCAGCTGTTCTGCCTAAGACTGCTTGCCTTCCAACTTCTTGTTATGTGAAAAAAAATCTCTATATCTTCAGTGCACTATTATATGGGTTTTCTGTTACATGTAGCAGAAAGTATTACCTACTTGCTACAGTAAAGGGGTAATAAAATCAGATATTAATTTTAGAAAGATCATCATGAAAGCCATAGGGAAAATCTATTGGGAGGAGGCAAAATCACAATCAAGAGCTCTCATCAATACAGTTGGAAAGTCATTAGTGGAGTGGTAAAAGTCATGAGCTTAGAAATCAAATGGCTTAGTTTGGAATTTTTGTTTTCCCATTTAATAAGTGCTAAAGGAGCTCTGGTAGCGTAGTGGTTACAAATCGGGCTGCGAACCTTAAGGTAAGCAGTTCGAAACTACCAGCTGCTCCGCGGGAGAAAGATAAGGCTTTCTACTCCTGTAAAGATTTACACCCTCGGAAACCCCTGTACAGGGTCGCTATGGGTCGAAACCGACTCGACGGCACTTAACAACAACAACAATAACAACAACCTTGAGCACATTACTCAATGTCTCATTACTCTTCAATGTTTTCATTTTATATCCTAGGTACCTCCAAGGATGGTTAATCTTAACAAATGCCAGTCATTATTACTAATTGCTAGGTTGGTTTGAGCTGCAGGGTTGGCAGTTCAAACCCACCAGTGCTTCTTGAAAATGCCATAGAGGGTCACTATGAGTGAGAAATGACTCAATCACACTTAACAACAACAACAAATGAAATCAAATGAGGTCTTAGATCTATCATTCAAGAGTGGTTAAGTAGATTTAAAAGGTTCTACCAGTTGCTGGTGAGGGATATCATGTTTGGTAGGGTGCAGGGTCAGAGAAAAAGAGGAAGACCCCAAGTGAGATGGATTGGCAAAGTGGCAGCATCAATGGGCTCAAGCGTGGCAACAATTGTGAGGTTGGCCCAGGATCAGGCAGTGTTTCATTCTGTTGTGCATAGGGTCACTATGAGTCGGTACTGACTTGATGTCACCTAACAACAACAACCCTCCTGAAGTTCAGATTCTACTAACATGAGATAGAAATTCGTTGAACCAATCCTAAGTGAAGGTCACTTCAGACACCTACACATGTAATGATAAGAGTGAAAAATGAGTGTGCTAATAACTGTAGATAAGAATTCAGAATTTTTCCTTTAAGTGGGTATTCTTTGTGAATTGAGTGAGTGGTGATTGGTAACTGGAATAAGAACATTTCAAGAAAGGAAACAGCTCTGAATTATCAAAAGATAGAAAAAAGACCTATGTGAGGAACACAGTGAGGTAGAATTTGAATGAAAGGAGATCATAGATATCATTTATTTGGAAGATCTTTGTACTTCAGTTCCTAGACCATGTGAAGCATCCCTACTCTGCATTTCTATTGTAGCCTTTCCTTTTACAATATCATACTTAATTATAATTACTGGTTTAATTGTCTATTCCTCTTATTAAATTCTGCTCTTAGAGAAAGCCAGGAATATTTTTTTCCTGATCCTCATTATATGCCCAGCACCCAGAACAACTTAGCTACTACTGGCTGCAGATAATTATTTGATGAAATAGATAAGTTTATCAGTTAATGAAACATTGTGTCAGGGTTAGCTAGGTTTATGCTCTATAGAACACCTAATCTAGTATTCTTTCTACTCTTTATACCTTCATTAATAGAAAGTGATCTTTATAATATCTAACAAATATCTTCCATTTTAAAGATTACAGATACATAGGTATTGATTTATTAACTTGCATTCTTTTGCTGAGTGTTCTGATTGACAACCAAGATACATATGGCAAGATGACTGGTTCCACAGAAGTTGGGAGGATTCTAGCTAAAAATGCAACAAATCTAAGTGGAAGTTTATGCATAAATTAACCCTGTCTAGCTATATTATCAAGTTCTCATTAAAACAAGTGTGGAAGACAACCAAATATAAAGGACAGATGAATGGAGATAAAAGGAAATATTGAGTTGTATAGATCTTCAAGCAAATAAGAAATGATGCTGAGATTTTTAAAGTAATGTGAAAAGTTTTTGTCTCCTAGTTGTTACCAGGCCATCAGCTTTAATGTTAATCCTTTAATAATTCACTATAGAGTTTACATATTTATATAATAAATTCACTTTTTCTACAACAACAAAAATGAGATCTCAAATCAAGGTAGATCCTGTGGGAATGGTGTTACTGTCCTGTTTTCAAAGCCATTCAGTGCCCAGTTTCCTCAACGTATATTTAAAAAGTCTTTTTCCATGTTAGAGTCATATCTCACACCATATACAAAAATTAACTAAAAATGGGTCAATCGCCTAAATATGAGTTAAAAACCATATGGTTTTTAGAGGAAGACTTTATTTTTCACAATGGAATCTTAACTATGACACCAAAAACACAAGCAATAAATGACAAATAAATTGTACTTCATCAAAATTAAAGTTTAGTGCATCAAAGGGCATTATCAAGAAAGTAACGGGGGGAAAAAAAAGGATCTAAGATTGGGAGAAACTATTTGAGAACCATATATCCAAAGTCTACAACTCAGTAACAAATTAAAAAAAAAACAGACAATCCAATTAAAAAATGGACAAAGGACTTGAATAGACAATTCTCCACAGAAAATATACAGACCGCCAATGAGCACATGAAATGATTCTCAAATTCATTAGTCCTTTGTGAAATGCAGGTCAAAACTACAATGAGATACCACTTCATACTCATTATTATGACTAGAATGAGAAGGGGGGAAAAAATAAAGGGAAAATAACAAATATTGGCAGGGATGTGGAAAGAATAGGATCCTTGTGCATCGCTGGTGGGAAAGTAAAATGGTGTAGACACGTCACCATTTGACAATTTCTCAAAAAATGAAGCATAGAACTATCATATGACCTGGTAGTTCTATTCCACAAAAGAATTGAAAGCAGGGACTCAAACTTATCCTTGTACACCAATGTTCACAATAATCAAAAGATGGAAACAACCCAGATGACATCAACAGAAGCAAAGTGTGGCACATACTTGAAATAAAATATTCAGCCATAAAGAATAATGAAATTCTGATACATGTTATGAAGCTTGAAAATGTTATGCCAATTTAAATAAGTCAAACACAGAAGGATTAATATTATACAATCCCACTTTTATGAAATATCTGGAGTCCTGGTGTGGCACTGTGGGCTAAAGCACTGGACCACGAGGGCACTTGACCAACATCGGTAGTTCAAACTTACCAGTTGCTCCTTGGAAACCCCATACAGGGTCGCTATGAGTCAGGACCGACTCAGTGGCACTTAACAACAACAACAACAACATATGAAATGTCTAGAATAGGCAAATGCATAGAGACAGAAAATGGTTTAGTAGTAACCAGGAACTGTGGGAAAGGGGAAGTTAGCCCTTAATGAGTGAGAAGAAGTTGAAAACTGATTTTGGTTAGGTTTATACAACATGGTGATCATAATTAATGTCATTAAATTGCACACTTGTGGGAAAAAGATGAGGTTTTC